TCTTGGTATATAAATGTATCCCCTTCCTCCTCACTGACGCGGCGCCATAATTTCTTTAGAAACTTACCCCTTTATTCATTTCTCCAGAATTTAACGAAAGATCGTAAGAATCAGGTGACATGAGAGTGAACTGATCCAGCTTGAACCTTTCCAGGTAATTATCAACAGTTATCTTTTTTTGAGGGAAGAGATAGAGGGGATTGAACTTGGACTACAAAAAAGTGGTGATTCTTATACTTTGTTCCTTGTATCTGTTTGATATTCTTCTACTGAAAAACTCACAGTGGTGTTTCCCGCTACTTTTACGCTGTCGTTATTTCTTTTCTTCCTTAAACAAAGAACTCGCAATATGAGAGCAGTATATCGAGCGAGCATTTGCATAATGATAAGAATTCTCTACGGCTGAGGTTGTTTTTGTACTCCAAAATTAGTAATGATCTTTGAACCCGTGAAGCTAGCATCTTATTTATGTCAATATTTTAGTTTCCCCTGTATCCCATCCAAAGTTTCTCTGAGGAGCAATCTATTTTTCGTATTTTAAGCAATTGATTTTTCTTGTTTGATGTCATGTACTATGATATCTTGCAGTGCAGAGAAGTTTCACTTTCCAGGGCGGATACAATCAAAGTCTAATACACCGCGTGTTGAGAGTGAATGGTTCAGTGCAGCAGAAGTAAATGATCTGTTCTGTAAGTAGTAAAGACATTGATAATATAGTTACCGTTACAGTAACGCACGGTCTGTTATCTATGTGCCTCTAGATATTTCACATCCTTTTTCAAAAGATAGAAAGGGGGTGCTATAGCCGTGTCACAAAAGTGGGGTGAAATGCACCAAATGCTCCCCTCCCCTAAATATGGATGTAGAACACATTTATTTCCGAGTTGTGATGACCTGATGGAAAATGAAAACTTTGACTGGAAGTATGTGAAAAAAAACACTGAAAATAGGAAGTCATTAATTCCGAGGTAAGTTCAAGGAAAAATTAGGAACTTGTTTTTGTTTCCGTTTACTAGCTGTACATTTAACACACTGAAATTTAAAATAACAAACGAATTGAAAAATAAACCTCCATCACCTCAAAGAAGATAGCAAAAGTTAAACTCTTACTTCTGCATTCACGGTTTATCCTGAACAGGTTGAACGTTTCTTGAAAATCATAATAATAATAATAATAATAGTTTAATATTTGTAGTGCGCAAATGCCATTTACATATGATCAAATGCGCATAATCATAGGAAATCATAGGAATGCGCAAAATCATAGGAATCATAGGAAATCATAGGAATGCGCAAAATCATAGGAACTTTTAGCAACTAATCAACGGATTGTAATTTCTAATAATAAAAATGGCGGCTGGGAAAGCCGTCATATATGTTAAAAAAAAATGAAAGATGTTATGGTATCATGGTTTTTCTCCTGAGCCATCGAAGCGTTCACTGTCAGTGTGCAGTGGGATAACTTATCATCAATGAGGCGAAAGAAGGAAAAAATTATTTGCTTTACTTTATGGCATTCATATTAGCGAAATACATCCAAAATTTGGCGAATAACTCAAAAGCGAAGAGATATCACTTGGTCCGGCTGTTAACACTTTAATCGTTCCAAAATTATTTAAAATGTAACTTCCCCTCATACTATACAATCATCATCCAGTAAATAGGTATGAGAAATATCAAACTTATCGGGTCAAAGTTGTTATCATGATTCATTACCAAATATCAGGAAATGTGTAGGAACTAGAGGGGAGAATTTACAATCACATCTTGGAAGTTAAAGGGTCAATTAATCGATGAAGATGGAAACACTTATACTTTTGATGATTTCCTGACTTTATCTTTATTATCATCTACATACCATTGCGTTTATTTTCTTCGATATCCAGAGAAAATCAACCTTCATCAGAATATCTCATTCAAGTACTTTTGCTTACATCAAAATGGACACAAAACATCTCTAGCTTCAAACGGTGAGTTAATCCTGAATTATTCAGTTTCATTTTTCTCACTACTCTCTAATTTCTTACTTTGTGTGTCAGAGTGACAAACCACGCGGTGGGTCTATCTTTTTTGGTTAACTTTTTTGGTGAGGAAATCTGAGTTGTAATTTCTAATCTAATTTTGCAAGGATTTCCTGCAAAAAGAAGCCAAAACATTCAAAAACTCTTTCGTTTTACGATCAAGAGCGGACTTAAGGACATATGGTGGTCCACTTCATTCTCTTATTGTGCGGGTGGTGTTACATGTAATTCGGCTTTTATTTCATTTCATCTTATTTTAATCGCAGAGCTTTCCTAACTTCAAGTGATATCTTTACTTGTGAATATGTGAAATTCGTATTGTGTTACACAAGTTCGTGACGTGTGGACATGCGCGATACCGTGTAGAAGTGGATCTCGTCTCTTGTTAACTCTTACGTTAGCGCCCAAGAGGTTTCCCTTGTGTTAATCTCAATTTCCAAGTCCTAAGTTTGCGCCCAAAGTTCAGATAAACATGTATATATTTTTATATTGCTGATTGTGACTGCTGTCACATAGCGGCGGAGTAGGAGGCCGGAGGGCTGCAGTGCTCCCCGCCCCAACTAAAATTTTTTTGGAGGGAGGCTCAGCGCCCCGCTCCCCACGTTTTGCTGCCAAAAATATCCTTAGCGCGGCATAGAATTTGGCAAGATATTTAATCTTGTGATCTTTTTATAAATTCTTTCATCAGCATCGTGCTTCGGCAAAATGACATGTCATAAAACTATTTTTGAACAGCTCCAGCCTGTGCCCGAGAAGCTTATCAGCTGCCGGCAGTTCCCATTAGACTAGACAGCACGTCTAGGAAATTAGAAGAGTTAATTTTGTCTGAGGGAACCCAATCAAATGCTTCGCTGAAAGATTTAGACTGGGCCGGGAAAAATGAAAGTAGGCCAAAAGTCGATTACGGTCACAGTCGAAACTGTAAAGATTGCAGAGTGGTATGCTTGTTCCAACGAACAACGCAAGGGGCATTTTGGAAAATTTGAGTAGGGGTATGCGTATGTCTCCCCTCCCCCCCCCCCACGTTTCAAAACGCTCGCTGCCTCTGTCTTATCAGTCTCGTCAATCTTTTTTCCTGTGTCCCTGAAACGCTCCTATTTAGCAATTTCGATTCTTTTCGATATAATATTTATACAATAAAAAAGGGTTAGGAAGGGATTTGATACGCAAACTCGTGGCGTTAACACGGCCTTAGGATTATGGAGAAAGCTTTGAGGAGGACTTTTTTGGGATGCCAACGTTATTCTGTATCCTGGAACCACAAGATCGTTGGCTTTAATTTCAGAAAAATCACTGTATATTTTAGTTGTATTTTGCATAGTTTATCGGTGATTTCACCAGTGTCACTTTGATTGTTGACACTCGAGTTTGATTCCTCTGGCTTTCGAAAATGAACAAGTCAATTCCTTATCATGAAACGTTCAGAAAGGGGAAAACCGGTAATTTTTAAATCTCCTGATGAAAAAATAGTTTTGAGAGAGTAATGAGGGTTCGTGGTTTGCCTCGCCCTCAACGTTATTTTTAGTGGTTTTATACCTACTTGACTACCTGAAAAGTGCATGCCAACGGAAGCTCACGGAATGAAAGTTCGCTAAAAACCTTTCACTTTCGCGGAAGCGTCATTTTGCTTTTTCTGAGCGTCAGGAGTTCTACTCTATTTTTAGTTGGTTGTGTCGACATAATTCTCCAAGGGGGTGAAATCCTCCTTAACCTTTAGAAAAAGAGAACTCTTTTGACAAGATACCGCCTCTTCAAATGAGTTATAAATTATGTAGAATTGCCATAGTTTTTTGCTAGAAAGTTAACCGAAAAGCGAGGAACAATGTATATAATACATAAACTTAAGATAAGATCATTTGGAGCCCCAACCAACCAATAAGGTTTCTTTCTTCTCAATCTCATTTATTTTTATCCATAGCTGCCGCCGTGAACTGAAATTATGATTTTGTATAAAATATGAGGCCAATCTCCTTGTTTTCTAAAGTAAACATTTTTATTTTAATTCATCAGTCAACGGGAAAAGAAGTCACGTTTTAAATTAGATTTTTCATGTTTTCGATCTCAAATGGAAAAAGCCATGAATTGGTGGAAATACACTGGAAAGCATTTTCATTTAATCGAAGCAAATATATCTTACATAATCGAGGCGGAGGAAACTTAAATTTACGTCAAATTTCTGTCAGTATTCGCCTCTTTGGGAAACTTCCCCACCCCTCCTAGTATTAACCCAATTACTTTCCTCTTGCACACAAAATTTTACACTGTAAAACGGCCACTGAATTAGAGTTGTCTGGGTAGCTCCTCTCGGATGTATTATGTTTGATCTCCCTTAATTCTGACACCAACAGGGAACAAGGTTATGATGGACAACACAGAAGTGGACGCTACAACCACTTCAGTCATCAGAATAGCTGTAACTGTTGCAATTTTTCTTCTCAACACTGGTCGTGTTCTACAAGCTATCGAAATGTGCCGTGAATGTTTCATTTTCCTACACAATCGGGGATTTAGAGAGGACAATCCAATGGCTAAATTACTTTACCAAGATATCTTTACCACAGCAACAAAGGCGTACTCCACGTTATTTGACTACACAAATACTGAAAAATACGTGAGAGAACAACTACTCTTATTTCAGGAGTCTGATGATACTGTAGGAAAAGGATGGCTACAGTTAAGACTAGCAAAGATACTCCAGGATCAAAAGAAGTTCGCGGAGGCCGGAAGATTTTATGAGTCAGCAATGACCATTATGAAAACAAATAGTGATGCACAAGGCGAGGCTGTAAGTTGTGGAAACCTAGGAATATTGCTCCAGGTACTTGGTAAATACGACAAGGCCAGAGAATATCAAGAAAAGGCACTGTCTATCCGAATAGAAATTGGCGACAGGGAAGGACAAGCAACGAGCTACGGAAACCTAGGAACATTGTTCCGATCGCTTGGTAAATATGACAAGGCCCGAGAGTATCAAGAGAAAGCACTCGCTATCAGAATAGAAATCGGCCACAGAGAAGGAGAAGCAACGAGCTACGGAAACCTCGGAGCAATGTTTGGAATGCTTGGTGAACATGACAAAGCTCAAGAGTGTCTCTACACAGCGTTATCAATAGCAAAGAGAATTGGCTGCAGAAGAATTGAGGCCAATATGTATGGAAACTTAGCAGGTTTGTTTTTATCGCGTGGTAAATTTACAAAGGGTGAGGTTTATTTAGAGAAAGCACGTGCAATGAGAATGGAAACCGGTGACAGAGAAGGACAAGCGGCAGATTACAGAAACTTTGGCCTTATTTCTTGTAAGCGTGGTGAATATACTAAGGCTCAAGACTATTTGAAGAAGGCCCTTGCCACTCACTTGGACTTGGGCCTCAGAGAAGCTGAAGCAATCGATTACGCACAGTTAGGAACATGTTTTGTATCCCTTGGTAATTATGACGTGGCTGAAAGTTACCTTCAGAAGGGTCTCTTATTAAGCAAGGATATTGGACACAACCTGACTGAGTTTAAGTGCCTTTGTAATCTAGCAGCGTTAAGGCTATTACAATTCGATTTTAAAGAGGCCTTTTCGTATCTTTATCGTTGCACTGACAAATTGGATACTTTGCGAGGTTTTATTAAAGACAGCGATCAGATTAAAATATCTCTTTTAGAGGAGTACGGTGCCCATATCTACCAGGAGCTCAGTTGGTTACTTTCGTCGACCGGGAATCCACAAGGCGCTCTTTACGTCGAAGAGTTGAAACGGGCAAGAGGCCTAGCCGACTTAATGGCAGCTCAATACTCTGTTAAAGAGCAGATTTCAGGCAACCCACAATCTTGGTGTGGCATTCAGAACATTATCGCAAAGGAAACTGACTCTACATGCCTTTACATTTCGGTTGGTAAAGCGGATGTACGATTTTGGATTCTCAAAGCAACAGAAGCTATTCGTTTTACAGAAAAGGAAGCAAGCCCGATCAAAAACGAAGAGACTGGATTAGTCCCTGACTTAGATGAGTTTTTAAAAGAAAGCTTCCGCAATCCTGCAAAAGACATCACTAAAACGAATCTCCACCTGTGTCACAAGATAATCATCGCCTCTGTGGCCGTTTTACTGAAAGAGCCTGAGATTATAATTGTCCCTGATTCTTGTATGTACCAAGTGCCATTTGCAGCCTTAACTGATAAAGAGGGCAAATATTTTTCGGACACATTTAGGATCCGCATCGTTCCCTCCTTGACTACTCTGAAGCTCATTCAGGACAGTCCTCCTGATTACCACAGTAAGAGTGGTGCGCTGATAGTCGGTGACCCCGACGTTAGAGAGGTATTGTACCAAGGTAGACGCACGTTAGTAACACCATTGCCACGTGCAAGAAAGGAAGCAGAGACGATTGGAAGTCGTCTTGGCGTCAAGCCCTTGATTGGAGACCGCGCAACAAAACAGGCTGTACTTCAAGCGATAAATTCAGTAAGCCTGATACATTTTGCTGCCCATGGTAGTCCTGATAGAGGAGAGATTGTTCTCTCTCCTAAAGGCCCCATTGACGGTCCTCCACGAGAGAAAGACTACCTTTTGACGATGCAGGACATTTCAGAAGTTCAGGTGAGAGCTAAACTGGTTGTACTCAGCTGTTGTCACAGTGCACGTGGAGAGGTCAAAGCAGAGGGAGTTATTGGGATCGCCCGAGCGTTCTTAGGATCTGGTGCTCGCTCGGTGTTAGCGGCACGATGGGCACTGGAGGATGAAGCAACAGAAGAGTTCATGAATTGCTTCTACGATCATTTGTTCCGCGGTAAAAGTGCCAG